ACAAATAAAATAAAATCAATATTCAATGAAAAATTATACCGAAAAAAACGTAAAAGTAAAGTATAAAAATTCAAAATAAAAAAAAAATTATAAAATATATCAAATAAATTAATCCCACTCCAAATTTGTTAATAAGGATAAGGTGAATAAAATAAAATTGAAAACGTCCTTCTCCAAAGAGCCTTTGACCCGTGTTGACACCATATTAGTGCTCAAATAACATACCGCACTCACCAGATATTGGTGAAAAAAAAGCCTTTTAAGTGTTTTTTTGGGATCCTAGACCCAGTCCTTCTCCAACAGAAACCAAAAAGGATATGATTGATGCAGAGAAAAAAGAATACATATAGTGTAAACTGAAAAACTCAGACAGGATCAATTTCCAAGTACCAAACCAGTGGTTTCTGTTGATCCTGGAGGTTGGAGGCTGGTTTATCTCCTTACCTGGAGTGAGGGAAGTCCATGCAAAATCCGGTGTTTGGAGGCTGTATTGACTGGGTCTAGGATCCCAAAAAAACGCTAAAAAGGCGTTTTTTTCACCAATATCCGGTATGTTATTTGAGCACTAATAGGCTTTTTTTTAGTTTGGGCAAGGACAGAGGGGCCCCATGATCCCCTATTGCCCCGGGGGCCCATGAGTTGTCAGTCCACCCTGGTTGTATGTAATAGGGCTTCCCACGGATTATGGGTCAGGGGGATGTTGACGACTGATCTAGTCATAATGTCCAAAAAAACAGGTTACTTTGAGGCAGGCCCACCAAATGTAAAGTAGGGCACCTCTTTTCCACAGAAGCACATCGAAGGCACGTCAGGGACAAACCAAGATAGCCAATAACAATTTTCATGGAGCAATAATAATAAAGGTCAATACTGTTCAATACTAACAACTTTATTATTCACGCTGATATATAAAAAAAAAAGAAAAATAATTGACTTAATTTAAAAAGTAAAAAAAAAGAACATAAACATCAAACTACGAATAAATCAATAAATAAATAAACCTCAATACAAAGGTTAAATAAATTCAGTAAGGCAATGCTAGTATTTACATGTTGTTTGGATTTCTATCTATCAATGTTCGCATGCAGCATGAATATTGTATCCAAAATGCTTTTCAAATAATTATTTATCCAAGTGTTCCAAAGGAATATGCATTCAATCTGGTGACCACTAGGAAAATAAAGCCCATAAATTTCCTCTGTTCCTGGAAAGAGTTATAGAGATCCTTTGGAGAAATATTGTATGCATAATACATGGAAAAAGAAAAATAATTTAAACGTCAGAAAAAAGATTTTTAAAAAATCACATAAACTACAAAATACAAAAAAAAATTAAATAAATCCCCATACAAAGGTTAAAAAAAAAATCAGCAGAGCCTTGCTAATATTTATATTTGTTGTTGTTTGTTGTTATTTATATTTATCAATGTTTAAATCTAATGTGGCTATTGTATCCAAAAGTCAATACTCAAAGTGCTCCAAACATTATGCATTCAAATTTTCTAGAGATCCTCTGGGGAAGTTTTTGTATGCATAAATATATAGAACACTTGGACAAGTTATTTTTTAAAAGTATGACTTTTATATACAATAGTCACCTTGGATGTGAACACTGATGGATAGAAATAACATCATTTGAATATAAGCAGGGTCCTGCTGAATGTTGTAACCTTTTTATGGGGATATATTTAGTTTTTGTATTTTTTTTTTTTCGGTTTACATAATTGTTTGGGATATCTTTAAGTTTGCATGCTCTTTTTAATGTAACATTACTTATTTTTATGTTTTTACATTTTGTGTTGGATAATAAATAAATGTGTCTTCACTGGGAGGCTCACCTCCCTACTACTTGTTCTAGACACCACGGGGTTTATTTACTAAAGCTGGAGAGTCCAAAATCAGACTCCCTTCTGCATAGAAACCAATCAGCTTCCAGGTTTCATAGCCAAAGCTTCATTGAACAAGCTGAGGTTAGAAGCTGATTGGTTTCTATGCAGAAGGGAGAAACCTGGAAGCTGATTGGTTTCTATGATTTTGGACTCTCCAGCTTTAGTAAATAAACCCCCACCTGTCAGACAATAAGTCATGGGAAATTCAAAATTTTACAGCAAAACAGTAATAGAGTCTAAATATCTGTTCAGGTAATAGCTCTGGTAAGGTTAAAGCTGCAGTGATTTCCTTTTATGTACTTTATAATTTACGTATTCGGAAAAATCAGTAAAACTCTTTTGGAACAAGCTGTTGTTTCCCTTCTGTAGTCATTGGCCTTGTGGAAAAATGTGTCTTTAAATTTCAGAGGATTTGAAATCCTAAATATTTATCTAGTATTTTCTACTTTGGCAGTCTTCCAGCCCTCTTATGTAACACACAGCAAGTAACTTTGAAACCAACTGAAACTAGACTTTATAGTCTTTGTTGTCACATACCGGGTGGAGAATGAGCTAGAGAGGGGGCTTCTCTTGCACCTCTTGTCCAACACCCTCCCCAGGTGACAGGAGGTATGAGGACACAGAGTGGCACGAGGACTGATGTAGCAGGCAGTGCCAGCTGTTGGTTGCAGGATACAGATGATCATGGATCACCAGACAGGAACCAGAGACCGACACACAGTGACACTTGACCAGAAGACAGAAGTGAAGGCAGGAGACAATCCAAAAGGTCATCAAAGGCTGGGCAGCAAGTTACAGGAACATCAGGCAGAGGCAGAGTAAGGATACAAGTCAGAGTCAGTTCACAGTCAGGCAGCAAGGTACAGGAATGGAAAGCAGAAGTAGAGTCAGGATACAAGATGGAGTCCGTTCACACCTGGGCAGCAAGGTTCAGGAACTGAAAGCAGAAGTAGAGTCGGATACAAGCTGGAGTCAGTTCACACCTGGGCAGCAAGGTTCAGGAACGGAAAGCAGAAGTAGAGTCGGGATACAAGCTGGAGTCAGTTCACACCTGGGCAGCAAGGTTCAGGAACGGAAAGCAGAAGTAGAGTCAGGATACAAGCTGGAGTCAGTTCACAGTCAGGCAGCAAGGTTCAGGAATGGAAAGCAGAAGTAGAGTCAGGATATGAACTGGAGTCAGTTCACACCTGGCAGCAAGGTTCAGGAATGGAAAGCAGAAGTAGAGTCAGGATACAAACTGGAGTCAATTCACACCTGGGCAGCAAGGTTCAGGAATGGAAACCAGAAGTAGAGTCAGGATGCAAGATGGAGTCCGTTCACACCTGGGCAGCAAGGTTCAGGAATGGAAAGCAGAAGTAGAGTCAGGATACAAGCTGGAGCCAGTTCACACCTGGGCAGCAAGGTTCAGGAACGGAAAGCAGAAGTAGAGTCAGGATACAAGCTGGAGTCAGTTCACAGTCAGGCAGCAAGGTTCAGGAATGGAAAGCAGAAGTAGAGTCAGGATATGAACTGGAGTCAGTTCACACCTCGCAGCAAGGTTCAGGAATGGAAAGCAGAAGTAGAGTCAGGATACAAACTGGAGTCAATTCACACCTGGGCAGCAAGGTTCAGGAATGGAAACCAGAAGTAGAGTCAGGATACAAGATGGAGTCCGTTCACACCTGGGCAGCAAGGTTCAGGAATGGAAAGCAGAAGTAGAGTCAGGATACAAGCTGGAGTCAGTTCACAGTCAGGCAGCAAGGTTCAGGAATGGAAAGCAGAAGTAGAGTCAGGATATGAACTGGAGTCCAGTTCACACCTGGCAGCAAGGTTCAGGAATGGAAAGCAGAAGTAGAGTCAGGATACAAACTGGAGTCAATTCACACCTGGGAGCAAGGTTCAGGAATGGAAACCAGAAGTAGAGTCAGGATGCAAGATGGAGTCCGTTCACACCTGGGCAGCAAGGTTCAGGAATGGAAAGCAGAAGTAGAGTCAGGATACAAGCTGGAGCCAGTTCACACCTGGGCAGCAAGGTTCAGGAACGGAAAGCAGAAGTAGAGTCAGGATACAAGCTGGAGTCAGTTTCACAGTCAGGCAGCAAGGTTCAGCAAGCAGAAGTAGAGTCAGGATATGAACTGGAGTCAGTTCACACCTCGCAGCAAGGTCAGGAATTGGAAAGCAGAAGTAGCAGGATACAAACTGGAGTCAATTCACACCTGGGCAGCAAGGTTCAGGAATGGAAACCAGAAGTAGAGTCAGGATACAAGCATGGAGTCCGTTCACACCTGGGCAGCAAGGTTCAGGAATGGAAAGCAAAGTAGAGTCAGGATACAAGCTGGAGCCAGTTCACACCTGGGCAGCAAGGTTCAGGAATGGAAAGCAGAAGTAGAGTCAGGATACAGCTGGAGCCAGTTCACACCTGGGAACAAGGTTCAGAAATGGAAACCAGAAGTAGAGTCAGGATACAAGCTGGAGTCAGTTCGCAGCCAGGCAGTAAGGTACAGGAACGTAAAGCAGGTAGCAAAGCCAGGATAGAGGCCTGGGTCGGTTGACAGCAGGACAGCGGGGTACAGGAATGTAAGGCAGAAGGCAGTGTCAAGGTAGACAAGAATCTAAAGACAGGTCAGAGGCATGCCAGTTCATGAACCAGAAGGCAAATATGTCCCTCTCTTATCTCCTGATAAGACATATTGTGTGGCGTCACTATGCACATGCTCAGTTTAGAGTTTATTGCTAGAGACATAGTTTTTTTTTCTTGGGAGAGTGCAAGTGCTCAGCACAGGGCCATTCAGCACTGTACAGACAGAGGTCATCCTCCTAGATCAGAATGTAAACTCCTCCTACAATCTTTAAACAGTGCTTTGCTGGACACTGATAGAAGTCCCAAGACTGCTATATACTGCTGATGAGAAAAGGTATTTAGCAGTTTATATTTATTAAAATAATTGCATTTACAATGTATGTGTACTGTGGGAGACCAAATATAGTGGGTGCAGGGTCCGGGGACAGCAGATGAAATGAATGCAGGGTCCTGGGAGACCAGATATAGTGAATGCAGGGTCCGGGGAGAGCAGATGTAGTGAATACAGGGTCCAGGGAGACCAGATATAGTGAATACAGGGTCCAGGGAGACCAGATATAGTGAATGCAGGGTCCGGGGAGACCGGATATATTGAATGCAGGGTCCAGGGAGACCAGATATAGTGAATGCAGGGTCCGGGAGACCGGATATAGTGGGAGCAGGGTCTGGGGAGACAGGATATAGTGAATGCAGGGGCCAGGGAGACCAGATATAGTGAATGCAGGGTCCAGGGAGACCAGATATAGTGAATGCAGGGTCCGGGGAGACCAGATATAGTGAATGCAGGGTCCAGGGAAACCAGATTTAGTGAATGCAGGGTCCAGGGAGACCAGATATAGTGAATGCAGGGTCCAGGGAGACCAGATATAGTGAATGCAGGGTCCCGGGGAAAACAGATATAGTGAATGCAGGGTCCGGGGGGAAACAGATATAGTGAATGCAGGGTCCGGGGAGACCGGATATAGTGAATGCAGGGTCTGGGGAGACCAGATATAGCGAATGCAGGGTCCGGGGAGACCGGATATAGTGAATGCAGGGTCTGGGGAGACCAGATATAGTGAATGCAGGGTCTGGGGAGACCGGATATAGTGAATGCAGGGTCTGGGGAGACCAGATATAGTGAATGCAGGGTCCGGGGAGACCGGATATAGTGAATGCAGGGTCCGGGGAGACCAGATATAGTGAATGCAGGGTCCGGGGAGACCGGATATAGTGAATGCAGGGTTCAGGGAAAACAGATATAGTAAATGCAGGGTCTGGGGTTTAGTAACACTTTACTGTTGGCTGTTTGGAGCCAATGCCAGTGCACACACCACTTAGTGAAACAGACTTCTTGTTCCAATACATAATGGCTTTTCTTACAGCTGTAATCTTTGTGAATGACTGATGCCAAATTATTTCTCAGTACAAGTAGCTACTGTAAAGCTCTTTTAATGCATGATAAGATATGTAAATGTATTCATTTCCACACCCTGAGTACAGGTGAAATTTAAGGATACCCAAAACCAAATCTTTTTAATCTTGGATAAAAATAGTGAATGTGTGTTTTTTTTTCATTGGTGTACTGTTTGTGAGATTACCTTTCACTGTCTGCCCTGCTAACACAACACAAAAAGAGAGGAAAGCTCCCCAATGATAGAAAGTTGTCATCAGAAAAGGTGTCCCACTGGAAGATGTAGGACTTAACCTGTTTTACTGCTCTAGTGACTTTTTCCTTCATTTTTTAGTCCCAGTAACAATGGCTAATAGAGAGGGTATTTCTCCACAGTGGGGATATAGTAATAAAATATCTTAATCAAGAGAATTAAGTATTAGGAAATTTAGCTGGAGTGATCTGAGAAAAGGTAAAATCGCCTTTGTTCTACTCACATATAAAACATCTACAAAATGGATCTCCCCAAAATACATCCAATGGACAAATTATAACACTTATCACTAAAGCACATTAAAATAACCTTGAATGATAAGGATAGTACAATTGCAGATCCCCAAAGTGGCAGTTCCATAGAAAACCAGAAATACAATGATATGTGTTTACAGTTAAATCTCCCTTAAATGCTAGAAACCATTCTAATAGTTCCAAAAAACACCAAATATCTAAAAGGTTCCTGCAGGTCAGTCGTATTGCCACAAATGGACCTTCAAGACTATATAAAGTTCAATGCTTGAGTGGACCAACACTGAGTAGGTAAACAAAACTACAGAGGTGACAATGAGCTGGTTGCCTCTTGAGGTATCCCGTCCACAATGACACACTTCAGCGCAGTCCTCTGACCACCGTGTGTGCAACTCCTGCATCCTCCTGGGATATATGACAGGGACCCGTCATTCTCTCCTACACAAGAATGGTGATAGATGATATGTGGCAGGGCCAGAGAAAAAAAAAATCAGTGATTTAATTTGCAGTGATGGGTGGGATTGTAGGGAGGTCACATCTCTCAGGGGAGTGAAGGTCTGCCTAAACTGAACAGGCTCTAAAATCTTCAGCAACTAATAGGTAGTATAATTACAAAGTGTGGCTGATAATGTTTTAAATGGCTTTTTACACTAACAAAGATAGATAGATAGATAGATAGATAGATAGATATACAGTGTATATATATATATATATATATATATATATATATATATATATATATATATCATACAGTATATCAGGTGTTTATTTATGTATATGTCCTCACTCTATTTGTTTTGCTATTTATTGTAGGTGAGAAAAAAAGTGACGGGAAATCCAAAATTTCACAGTTACCACCAGAATGGCATGAGTCCAGTGACAACTGACCAAGAGGAAATTTCCCATTCCTAATAGATCGCCGCTCTCTCTATTCACTACTCAATCTGAAATGAAGAAAAGTGTTTTTGGTTTAGTAGTCTACTTGGTAGTCATAACTAGAGATGAGCAAATTATTCAAAAATTCGATTCAGCTGATTCGCCGAATTTGCGGGAGAAATTCGATTCGATGCAAATTTATTCGCCGCGAATTTAACTTATTAAAAGGGTTTCTAGGCTTCAGAGAGCCTTTATATTAGTGCAGAACACTGTACCTTTAATTTAAATGCCCTTGGAGTCTGCTGGGGAAGAGAAATAATACTGTCAGTCAGTATGACATGCAGATGAGTGCCGTCGATCTTAGAATCACCGAAGAAGGGCACGACGAAGAAGAAGAGAAGAAGAATGAAAAGAAGAAGAAGAATGAAAAGAAGAAGAATTCCAGTACAGCAAAAAGTGTATCTGCAGAGAGCTCCGCTATTTCTGACAGTTCTCTGACAGTTCCTTCACATTTACAGCGGTTGAAACATTGTATCTATTTATTTCCGAATAAAAACATCTGTATCCTAAATGGAAACAAATAGATACAATGTTTCAACCGCTGTAAATGAACTGTCAGAACTGTCAGAGAACTGTCAGAAATAGCGGAGCTCTCTGCAGTGACACTTTTGCCGGCTGATCGGGGAAAATTCGATTCGTGCATCCGAAGTTTGCTAAAATTCAGATTCGATGCGAATCGAATTTTTCCTAATATTCGAAACGAATTCCACTTCGCCAAGTTCGATTCGCTCATCTCTAGTCATAACATTGGACACCATTATTTCCCTTAAAATTATCCAACTATTTTTTACGTTCCATTTTTGGAACATTTCCAATTCTGTGGCCCAGTAATTTTATTTTTATCCTTGATCTTGCTTGAGTATCCCAGGCCAATTTCTCCTGCTAATCTGATATTTTAGGAACACCTCCTATTGCTTCTGTAGCTGAGATTCCCAACTCCAACCAGCCATGTCCTTCCTTATACACACTAATTTTTTGTTTTGTTTACAAAAGGCTTTTGTTAGGGTGTTTGCACAATACAAAATATAATATAACCTTAGCATATAATCAATAGTTCATGCATAATAATGATTATGAATTAACTTAACATAGTATGTGTTAAATTACCAATTGATAACAGAAATTGTCAGATAAACAAAAGCTAAATATGAGTCTTGAATACCAAACAAGAGCAGTGATTTGATCAAAAAAGGCAGCAATCCTAAAGGTGATGTACAGGTGAAACTCGAAAAATTAGAATATGGCGCAAAAGTTCATTTATTTCAGTAATGCAACTTAAAAGGTGAAACTAATATATGAGAGAGACTCATTACATGCAAAGCAAGATAGTTCAAGCCGTGATTTTTCATCGTTGTGATGCTTATGGCTTACAGCTCATGAAAACCCCAAATCCACAATCTCAGAAAATGAGAATATTCCATGCAATCAATAAAACAAGGATTGTACACAGAACAATATCGGACCTCTGAAAAGTAGAAGCATGCATATGTACTCAATACTTGGTTTGGGCCCCTTTTGCAGCAATTACTGCCTCAATGTGGCGTGGCATGGAAGCTATCAGCCTGTGGCACTGCTGAGGTGTTATGGAAGAACAGGATGCTTCAATAGCGGCCTTCAGCTCTTCTGCATTGTTCGGTTTCATGTCTCTCATCTTTCTCTTGGCAATGCCCCATAGATTCTCTATGGGGTTCAGGTCAGGTGAGTTTGCTGGCCAATCAAGCACAGTAATTCCACGGTCATTGAACAAGGTTTTGGTGCTTTTGGCAGTGTGGGCAGGTGCCATGTCTTGCTGGAAAATGAAGTCAGCCTCCCTATAAAGCTCGTCTGTGAAAGGAAGCATGAAGTGCTCCAAAATCTCCTGGTAGATGGCTGCGTTGACCCTGGACTTAATGAAGCACAGTGGACCAACACTAGCAGATGACATGGCTCCCCAAATCAACACAGACTGTGGAAACTTCACACTGGACTTCAAGCATCTTGCAGTGTGTGCCTCTCCATTCTTCCTCCATACTCGGGGTCCTTGGGCCTCTCCATTCTTCCTCCATACTCGAGGTCCTTGGTTTCAAAATGAGATGCAAAAGTTGCTCTCATCACAAAAGAGGACTTTGGACCACTGAGCAACAGCCCAGGTAAGATGCTTCTGGTGTTGTTTGTTGTTCAGGAGTGGCTTGACAAGAGGAATACGACATTTTAAGCCCTTGTCCAGGATCCGTCTGTGTGTGGTGGCTCTTGATGCACTGACTCCAGCCTCAGTCCACTCCTTGTGAAAGTCCCCAACACTTTTGAATGGCCTTTTCCTGACAATCCTCTCCAGGCTGCGGTCATCCCTGCTGCTTGTGCACCTTTTTTCTCCACACTTTTCCCTTCCACATAACTTTCTATTAATGTGCTTTGATACAGCACTTTGGGAACATCCAACTTCTTTTGCAATTACCTTTTGAGGCTTTCCCTCCTTATGGAGGGTGTCAATGATGGTTTTTCTGCACAACTGTCAGGTCAGCAGTCTTTCCCATGATTGTGATTCCTACTGAACCAGACTGAGAGACCATTTATAGGCTCAGGAACCCTTTGCAGGTGTTATGGCTTAATTATCTGATTAGAGTGGGACACTTTGAGCCGAGAATATTGCACCTTTTCACAATATTCTAATTTTCTGAGATTGTGGATTTGGGGTTTTCATGAGCTGTAAGCCATAATCATCACAATTAAGACAAATCACAGCTTGAACTATCTTGCTTTGCATGTAATGAGTCTATCTCATATATTAGTTTCACTTTTTAAGTTGTATTACTGAAATAAATGAACTTTTGCACAATATTCTAATTTTTCGAGTTTCACCTGTATATGAGTTAGCCATAGTTTCCTCTTAGCTCGGTATTTTGGAAGAGAGTCATGAATAAGGTGATATATACGTTCAAAAGCTGAATTAAATCGACTCTATTGATAACAATAATTTGTTCAAAGTGAAGCCTAAGTGATTTCCAGTTTTAAAATGTTGTTCCATTGTGCATCCCCAAAATGGTTAGGTTAGGTTAGGTTCCGGTATCCCTTTGAAAGCACTGGATTTGGGAGAAACAATATGTACTGATTTAAGGGGGGTCCAGCATGACATCAGTCAACTGGCATATGAGATTCTTCATGTGACCCTAGAAGACTTGAACTAATTGGCAGCTTCAAAAAATATGTTTCAATGTATTAGATTCCTGACAGCCTCTAGAGCAATGCCCATCGACCCCCCAACATGTAATATTAGGTCTATGAGGAATGCATGCGAGGATCCAGATCTGAACCTGGAACCTTTGTGGTCTGTGTTTCTTCTTGCTGTGCCACCTGAGATACTGGATAACCTTCCTTTTGTCTCCTGTTTCTT